TAATTTCCTCTAATATTCGATTCCAGAGGTAAGAAGTGAATCATTTGAAAGGTGCGTCTTTGTTTGCGCTTTTTCTTTTTCTTTCCTTTTCCCTTTTTTTTTCTTTTCTATTTATTTCCTAAGACGTCCCCCTTTATATGATTTTTGATGTATTTTTGTATTTGTTTTTAAAAGCATCACCTTTAAAATTATTTAAAGTGGACTGTTCTCGAGTAGGTGAGAGCAGTGATTTTAAACCTTACGAATTTTATGAAGATTTACAAATAATGATCCCAAATTTACCTGATTTCATTAAAGGTGTAAAACAGCTGCTCCAATACATAATAGAAAATAAGTTGAAAGAAATTTATCCAAATATTTATATTTCAAATTTTGTTAACAGTACCAGTTAGTACAACTGCTGAAAAGAGCTTTTCAAAATTAAAACTAATAAAAAATTAAGAAGTACAATGAAACAGATATAGCATCTAATCTGGATTATGGTACAGGAGTTCAGTAAAGTTAAAAGCAGGAAATTTATGTTTCTGTTATTCTTTACTGCTAGTAATAATTACTTAAAAATATTAGTTAAAGTCTAAGAGGTATTAGCATTTTTTTGAATACAAGTTTTAATTTTATTTCTCTATATAAAATCCGTCTTCTTGCACCACTAGAGGGCCTCGCAAAAATGTATCTTGCCACATAAAATGTATGTCTTGCCCCGTCACTGAAGGGTTTTTTATTGTAGTAAATTATTTCATTGTCAGCTAAAACGAAAAACTCCATCGATGTGAAACGTTATTTTGAATTTGATAGGTTAAACGACAGCTCCCACCACCGGGACACAGTACATGTTATTCACTGCCTCCCCCTTCCATGTACCTAACCACAAAACACGACATGCCACTTTTAATATTTTTTTGACGATTGTGTTGTCATCTAGTTTTCTATAAAAGTTATCTCTAATAGATTTACAAGTCTAACGATAAGACTTTTTGTACCTTTAAATATAGATAATTTTACTAGATATTAAATAATATTTTTTCAGTCTTGTACAAGGATTAATTCTTTCTATCTTCATCCTTCATAAAAAAGAACATCATTTTTTGAAATTAAAATGTTTTCATTTTTACTTTCCTATCTGTATACAGATATAAGGAAAGTATAGGAATCATGATTTTTTTCGACCTCGAGTTTTCGACGGATTTTTACGTTTTGAGGTCCCCTGAATCCGTTTTGACTATTTTCGCGATGATGTCTGTGTGTCTGTGTGTGTGTGTGAGTGTGTGTGTGTGTGTGTGTGTGTGTGTGTGTGTGTGTGTGTGTGTGTGTGTGTGTGTGTGTGTGTGTGTCTGTGTGTCGCATAACTCATTAACCGATAAACATAAAAACACCAAATTTTAAACTTAAAGCTTTGTTCCAGCGTCCAATGAGCTGATTAGATTTTGGGCAGAGTCGGAACATCTGGGGGGTACTTTATAGGTGGTCATTTTTATATTTTATGGAATATATGTTATTTATGTTTAGGGAAGAAAATTCTTTAAATAAAAGTTACTTCTTATATTATTATCTATAATTTTTGTTTTTTACAAAATTTTGCTAAAATGGTCCGTATTCGAGAAATTTGACAAAATGTAAAAAAAATATTTTTTTATAAAAATTGTTCAAACAAAAGTTGTTTGTAATATAATTCTCTATAATTTTTATCCCATGCATAATTTTTCTAAAATGGACCCTATTCGAGATATTTGAGAAAATGTGTAAATTTCTAAATTTGAAGAAAACTCAAAAACGGATACAGAAAAAAACATTAAATTTTAAACTTAAGTTTTATTTCGGCCTGACGTAAAATGATTAGATTTTGGACAAAGTCGGAACATCTGGGGGGGTACTTTATGGGAGGCCGTTTTTATATTTTATGGAATATATCTGTTATTTATGTTTGGAGAAAAAAATTGTTTAAATAAAAGTTACTTCTAATATTATTATCTATAATTTTTGTTTTATGTAAAAATTTCCTGAAATTTGACAAAATGTGCAAAATTCTAATTTTTATGAAAATTGTTGAACTAAAAGTTATTTGCGATATCGATCTCTATAATTTTTGTTTATTCATGATTTTTGTAAAATGGACCGTAATGGAAAAATTGTAGGAAAAGTGCTAAATTTAAATTTTTCAGTATTTTCGTTTTCAATAAATATTTATAGAAAAATGTTTCGAGGTAGATGTATGTGGAAAATGTATATATTTAGTTTATCCTCTAAACATTTATAGAGGTGCTGCAATAGGTTGTACAAAATAACCGGGAAAAGCCTGTAATAACTAGATAGGAAAGTCATGTGTTGGACACATCAGATTTTTACCAATATTGTTAACTACATTAACATTGCCAATATTGTTTTCAACATCAATATTAGTCTAAAACAAACATGACAATCATAATAAATAAAAAAAATTATCTTCAATGAAAATTCTTTATAAATTATTATTAATCGATACAAATAATACGTTTTCTTTAAATTGTCACTTACGTCTTGAAGACTTTATATGACGTAAAATTGACAGGGTATAATAATGTATATGCTTTTTCAGTCTCCAATCTCATAAGAGGAATAATTTACACTGCCAATTATCTTTGTCTAGAAGATTAAGTGAAAACATAGACATGCAAAATTTTAAAATATATTTTTTTTTTATTTTAAGTAAAAGCAAAAATATAAAATTATTCAAAGAAATGTTTCTAAAGTTGGCTTTAGAAAAATTTACGCATGTCGGAGCATTAAATTATTCTTCTTCTTTTTAAGTTTTATTTTAAATTTAATTCAGAATCGTTCGTAGTTATTACGGACATGGGACATGATTTGTATCTTTATATTTGTCGATCATGGCCTACTTCAGAAACATTTTTTTGTAAATGTAGGTCTGTGTTCCGCTGGAACCACTGTTTCAAAATTTGTGTTTTAATTTTTATGAAAAACAAAGCAAAAATTTTAATACGTATCACTTTTTTTAAGCTTTTAAGAATATGTATTCCTACTTTATTTTTATCAGTTTGAGAGAGCTCATCTGCTAAGCGATTTCGGTCGAATACCGAGACCGGTTAATGTCAATTCTAAAGGCCATTTAGGCGCGCAGCTTTTGATATAACATTCTCTTTTTCAACTTACGCCATTTTGACGAAAAAAATATATATACAACATATTCTTGTATCTATAACAATTTATAATATAGGGTGTTTACCAGGGGTGTTAAATATCGGAATTCATAATAATCGTTTTAATTAGTTTTGGTGAAAATTGATACACATTTAAGTAGACAGTACCTACTTTTGTTAACCAATGATACAAAAGTTGAATAAAAATATTTTAGAGTTGTAACATATAGCAATATTTTATGAACTATTCTGAATGAAAATAAGAATAAAAAATTGTCATTAAGAGATGAATATCTTGTTCTTAATTCAGAATTAATTAATTTACCAGATAATAAAGTGACTCTGTATTTGAATAGTTTAGAATCAATATCAAATTTGGGTATTTTTGATTTTGTAGATGAGATTGGATAAAAATAAAAATCTGTATTCTTCATTTTGGCAAAATCTGTGCTGATGTCAAATTGGCGTAATTAAATCATTGGAACCCAGCGTTGAGCGAGACAGATTCACGATTAAAATTATAGTTTTGTTTTGTCGTATTACGATTGTTTATGTTTTATGTTAGAGAGTAAAAATAATAATTAAAGTCAGAGTTTAAATTAATACCCTCGACAACCAATTTTTTTTATTTATTTAGAATAAAGATGTAATATATCTCCTTTTATAGGCATCTCTATAATACCTACAACTTCTCTACATAACATTTTTCTCTCCGTAAAATAGATTATTCTAAAAACGCACAAAGTGAAATCGATAATATTTTGGAACAAGTCAAACGATGTAAACAACTTTTGTATAGACCGCATGATTTGACCGTGTAATGTTACCGTTTTCGCACGTGTTGGAACAAACCTATTATACCACTATACGCGCGAACTCATAGAAAAGAGATTTGTTGTAAAGATCTGTAAACATTCTTCGAGTCAAACCTTTTGAAGGGCAAATTTTATGGGCCCATCTTGACAACGTCGCAAGGACTCTTATGTACATTGAATAAGTAATTTATAAACGGGGGGCCTCTCATGTTAGTTAAACATTGTGAAGGGACTCTCATGTACGTTGCAAACATGTATGTTTAAATTTTAGAAATATCTTACCCCTCCTGTGGGGTTATAATTTAACATTATTAGTACATTCCAAAACATTAAAATATATATTCAAAAAATTGCTCCTTCAGGAGGGCCTCGGGTGGTGTGTTGACTACATCGGGCCTCGCTTTTGTATTTGGCTACGTATATATATATATATATATATATATGCAACATATGCAAAATAAGGCGTTTTGCATATGTTCCTAGCTCTATATGATCAAATTGTAATTATATCTTTATTCGTTTTTTTTTTTTTTGATTGATTAGATTTATTTTATTTGGTACAAATTTAATACTTTTTAATTTTAAATTTCCATTTTATTTTAGATTCAAATACAATTTTTAAATGGTTTTTGATTACCAATAACATGTACTGAGTGTTCTTTGATTTTCCCTTTGATATATCAAGTGTCTATAACTTTCAGTAAGTAAACCTTTCAATTTAAACAATGTAATTTGTATTACCTTACAATAATTTTATTCCATTGTTACTTTATGCTCTTATTTTTTCTATTACAATATATTGTAATTATATACATGGTATTTAACTGTGGTGTTTAGTTTGAACTAAGGTATTTGGTTCCATAAATAAAACTTGAAGTGCATAAGAAACAGTTAAAGTATATTTTATTTTTTGTTTATTAGTTATGTAACGAGGGGTAACATGTAACAGAATGGTTTACTGACTGTAAAGGCTCGTTCAGACGGTGACATTCATGTCGTGGCATCAAATGCTGTGACAGCGTTTGACATTCGACGTTATGACACTAGGTGTTCACACGTACCAACACTTGTGTTGCGACATACTATTATCAGGTTCAAATTCTTGGTTTTTGGAAAGGAAGCCGTGAGCAAAATTATACCAGTGGAGCTTGGGCTTATAAATTTCATCATCACTAGAACCAGTTGTCATTGATTTTTTCACCTTTCGAAATTCATTGTTGTATGTTCCTCGAATTGATCTAATTTTTACCCTCAATACGTTTTCTAATTTAAAAATGTTTAAAAACGCTTCTTCCGCTTGATCCCGTTTATTTCTATCCTTATATTCTGAAATGGACTTATCCCATAGACAAGGGTATTGCTGGTAACATTCCAGAAATGTAAGTATATCAAACGAAGACATGATCGAATGACAAACAGCACAATCGCGCCAAAAAATACATATTGTTGTATCGCACTCTCAGTACTGTCACCGTCGCCGATGTTCAAACGAGAAAACAAGCGAGACATTTGATGTCACTGCCACGACATCGCCGGTGTCATGATGTCGTATATCAAAAATTTTTGATATGCGGCACTAGCGTCAGGACACCATGACATCGAGACATTCAACTGTTCAGACAATGCATTTTTGCGGCATTCACGTCACGGCATTAGGTGCCACGACATAAAATGTCATTGTCCGAACGAGCCTTAAGTCAAATGGCCCCGGAGCGCCGCGGCAAATAGTAATAATAATAATAGCCGTCCCTTCCCCTACACCAGTCGCTCAGTCGGCTTTAGGGGTTGAAATTCACTCGTAAGAGAGTAAATTTTAGGGACAGTATTATTATTATTATTACTATTTCTCAAAAATCGCAAATATTCTATTAATAAATTCTTCTAAACATAACCTCAAATTTCACAACAAATAAATGATGGCCGTTGACTTCTTCTAAACGCCATCGGCAAACGTATATGAATTATTAATCACGGCGCGCCACAGGTAAATATTAGCCTTATTTTTTACTACACTTCTGTAATCCATTGCTGGTGCTGTGCGTTAGACACCCTTATGATTTACAAATTGCAAGCCGATTGTCCCGTTTATGTATTGACCAAATTATCCCCAGTATACCCGTCTGTCGGGACCCAACTCACTGCCTTTATTTATCGATATTACTTGCGTAGGCGGACCTGGGCGAAGTAGAGTAGAGCAAAAGGGCTTTTTGGGAATGAGGAAGACTCAATACACCAAACAGTTTGCAAACGTTGTTTGCACAGTAACTAATTGATCGACAACTGAATTGTTTTTGGAATAGAGGGTGTACTTTTGGTAAACATATTCTTGAGCTTGCAACAGAATTCTGCAACAGAAGTTCTTTGATGTTGGCAGCATTGTATACAGTGCGAGTCAAAAGTAAGGATAAATTCGATACAAATTTTTGGAATAATTACAGAAACAGTTTAATTCTGTTTCTAAATTTAGCCCTTTTTGACATAATGTTAGGATGCTTGTAAATAATATTATTCGGCAGCTCGTCGAGTCGACACGCATATCAAGCGCTTTTGTGTTAATCCTATTAATAAACCGAATCTGATAGTGTTAATTTAAGTTTTTGTTATCAGTGCACTGCGAATTAAATCTAGTTTGTAAATTTGTGATCCAGGTAACAATATATTATAATAACTCATAAGTGCATAAACCTAAATTTTGATATTCGTGATTTTCGTGTAAACTCCAAGTCGTTCATTCTCACCGACCACTTTTTGTTCGCTTTTTTGTGGTAAAACATTTATCGCGATATGGCCAACGAATATTGTTTGGTGTGCAAAAAACCAGTAAATAGACAAATTCCCAAAGTTCAATGTACTAAGTGTAAACGAATGGCGCATACAGGATGTCTCAACCCAGCTGTGCCTCCAGATTCATATTGGTCATGTGCAAGTTGCAACAATAATATTTCTGACGCTAATCAAGCGTCGGGGTCCTTACATGTTGGTGCTCCCCAATTCGAAGAATTATTAGCGAAACTGAACTCTATTCAAACCGATACTTCTGTTCTAAAAACTGGTCAGCAGGAGGTTGTTGCCAAGCTAGAATACTATGCTACTAAAATCGATGAATTTGCGATGAAATTGGAAAGTTTTGAAACCAGATTGGCTAATGTTCCAGCTATTGAACAGAAGATGGTTAAAAACGAGCAAGTGATTACTGAATTGCATAATAAAATAGATAGCTTAGATCAACAGTTAAGATCGAATAACTTAATAATCAATGGATTACCACACACTTTCGACGAGAAATTAAATGAAATTGTCATCAGATTACTTATCACAATTGGTATCCAAGAAACTAATATATTTCAATCATGTTATAGATTAAATCAACTTAACTCAAATAGAAATACCCCCAGTTCAATACTTATTAAATTTCTATCCAGTGAATCAAAGGATTCGGTTCTCTCAGCATTCAAGAAAAAAAAAGGACTTAATGCCAATGATATTGGGTTTCCTGATCAACGATCAAGAATATTCCTAAATGAGCATCTAACTCCTATAAGAAGCCAATTATACAAAAAAACGAGAGACATTTGCAGGATCAACAACAGTAAGTGCTGGACAAAAAATGGAAATATCTTCGCTCGTAATCCGGCGAACTCCAAAATCGACAAAATCGAGTCAGAGGCGGATCTAAAAAACCTACAAGATAACTTAAATGCTCCTACCACGCATCAAGCGCATTTTTAACAGGGTCTAACAGTTCATTCTATCCGAAACTCTACTACCAGAATATTAGGGGACTGAACACAAAATGCCATGAATTTTTCACATCAACTATAAGTTCTGACTATCAATTTATTGCCATAACTGAATCATGACTTCAGGAGGGTGTTGCAAATTCTGAACTCTTTAATGACAATTACACTGTATATAGAGGTGATAGAAATCTAACAGCATGCTCTCGAACTACTGGTGGTGGTGTTATCTTAGCTATAGACAAATCATTTAAATCTAATCAACTAGATGTTCAAGTATTTTGTGAAAATATTCCTAAAATCGACATAGTCGGTTGTAAAGTATTTACAGTGAAATGTGTTATGTATATTTTTGTAATTTATATTCCACCAAATACCTCAACTGCCGATTATCTATTACTATTTGATACTTTTGAGTCACTACATTACTTACATCATGGCAAAGTTGTTATTACTGGTGACTTTAATTTGCCACAGGCCTATGATGCTACTGGTAAGTTGAACCATTCTAACCTTTCTAATAATATAGTACACTCTTTTGATATGTTTTGTTATCTATTTGACTTTAATCAACAGAATCACTAAACTAATATTAACAATCATATTCTCGATTTTGTAATCTCCAATCTAACCTGCAAAATATCAAAAGAATGTATGCCTTTCGTACGGGAGGATACGCACCATCCTAGTCTCGAAGTCTCAATAGAAATTAATTTACCTAAATATAATACCTTAATTAACACGCATCAACAAAAATACAACTTCAGGAAAGCTAACTTTAATCTAATATATCAAGACTTGTTTAACACTAATTGGTCAGTAATAGAAAATTCCCTTTCCGTAGATGAAGCTTGTGACAAATTTTATGAGACACTCTACTCTATATTTGACCAACACGTTCCACCTTCTGTTTACCGCAAACGTCAGTTTCCAGTTTGGTATTCCTCTGAAATTATAAAAAATATAAAGAGAAAATCACGCCTGCACAAAAAACTAGGTTTTAATGGTGACACTTTTAGAGCAGAATACAATTGATTACGCTCGTTAATTAAGATTCAAATAAAAACGGAGTATGAACGATACATCGAATCTACTGAGCATAACATAAATTCCGATCCAAAACAATTTTGGTCTTATATTAAATCTAAACAAAATGGATTTCCAACAATTAATAATTTATTAAAAGATAATAATTCTGTAAATAACCCTTAAGAAATAGTTAATATGTTTGCCGAATTCTTTCAGTCAGTTTATACCACCCCATCAAATAGTACAAATATATCTCCTGCCAATAGGGATGAACTACTCGATATTTAAATTTTTACATTATCAGAGGAAGACATATCTAAATCTATTAAAAAACTAAAACCACGAATGAATCAAGGACCAGATCAAGTACCTAGCTTCATCATTAGAGACTGTTCTGAGGTATTAAGAAAACCCCTATCATACATCTTTAACTTATCTCTAAAACATTGCTCTTACCCTACTAGGTGGAAAATCTCTAAGGTCACACCTATCTTTAAAAAGGAAAATCCAAATCTTGTTGATAATTACAGGCCAATCTGTCAAGTGTCAGGATTTTCGAAAGTCTTTGAGATGTCTGTATAGGATAAGATTTTTCCACAAGTAAAATTTTCAATTAATCCTTCCCAACATGGTTTCTTTAGTTCGCGCAGTACCATCACTAATCTAACTTGCTTCACTAATTTTACTACTTCTGCATTAGACCATCATCAGCAAGTGGATACAGTTTACACAGATTTCTCAAAGGATTTTGACCGCCTAGACCACTTAATATTGGCAAAAAAATTATTAAATCTAGGGTTTGACAGACAACTCGTTGATTTTATTTCTTCATACCTCAAGGGAAGACTGCAATACGTTGAGTTGAATGGCTATAAATCTTTTTTATTCGAAGCTACAAGTGGGGCTCCACAGGGAAGTAATCTTGCTCCCCTGCTATTTTCGCTATTTATCAACGATATTGTTTCTGTTCTCAAATGTAATACACTTTTATTTGCCGATGATCTAAAGATATTTAAAATCATTACTTGCAATGACGATTGCCATCAGATGCAAGATGATTTATTTGCCCTTGATCAATGGTGCAATGAAAACAGACTACCTCTTAATGTAAAAAAATGTAAGGTTGTGTCATACTCCTTAAAGCATGATTTTTTTATCTATAACTATCAAATTCAATCTATGACACTTGCTCGCGTCTCAAATTTCAAAGATCTAGGGATTACATTTGATTCCAAAATGTCATTCAACTCACATATTGCAGCCATTTCTGCTTCTGCCACAAAACTATTGGGATTCATATATCGCTCCTGCAATAAGTTTAAAAATGCTTCTACAACTAAACTACTATACTTCCATTATATAAGAAGCAAATTAGAGTATGGATGCCTAATCTGGAATCCTTATTATGAGGCTCATATTCAACATTTAGAAAAAGTTCAGCGTAAATTTGTCAAATATATGGCTTTTAAAATGGATGGAGTGTATCCTACCCGTGGATTCGATCACACTCGGTTACTTCAAAGGTTCAACTTGCCAACTTGCAAGGATAGACGAGTTTATATATCTCTAATTTTTTTGTACAAGTTGGTTAATGGTATGATTGATTGTTCTGATTTATTATACCAACTAAATTTTT